TCGCAAGGAAATCATTTTGTTAGTGCGCAGAAGGCAATTTCATAAATAAAACGTGAACTATAATGAATTTTTTAGTTGTTTTGATTTTTTGTTTTTTTTGCGTAACACCTGATTTTGAAATCGATTTGGCCCGGGAAATTTTTAGAGTAGTAATACAAGAATGGTTCTCTCTAATACTTCGGATGATTCGGTTTATCCGTTTCGGATATCCGACATAAATGGATGGATATCCGGTTATGTTAATGCGGGTAAATAAATAACGGATTTATCCGGATTGAAACTCTAGTTAATTTAATTTTTAACAGAGATCCTGAGTAAACAGGGCATCTGTTTAATTTGTTAACACACCCTTATTATAATTGTAAAAAACAGTTAACACACCCACCCTTGATGACATTAATGTTAACATCAATGTTAACATTAACGTTAACGTTAATGTTAACGTTAACATTAATGTTAATGTTAATTTTAAATTAATGTTAATGTAATTAACATTAACATTAACATTAACGTAAATTAACGTTAACATTAACGTTAATGTTAACGTTAACATTAATTTACATTAACGTTAACATTAACATTAATGTTAATGTTAGCGTTAACGTTAACATTAATGTTAACATTAATGTTAACATTACATTATATAATTTAATTTAATTTAATAACGTGTAAATTAAACATATCGCAAATTAAACTTAAGTTTATTTGTTATTATTTAGAAATATATGACATATCACACATTTAAATTTAAGATTCGTATATGTAAATAAAGTATAATTAAAAGTGCGATGCGTCATATACTTTTAATTAATGTTAAGCAAATAAGGTTAAATTAAAGTGCGATACATCATTAACAATTTAATAATGCGATTATTAATGATGTGATCATCACAGTGTTTGGAACGAAAACATAATCGAATAAACATTGTGGTATTTGAAAACAATCACATTATTACATTATTAATATCATAAAGTTTTCAATCATGTGATTGCTCTGAATGCCACAATGTTTATTTAATTACTCTGAATACTACGATGTTTAAGCATGATCACATTAATATCATAAAATTTTTGATTATGTCCGAATGCCACAATGTTTATTTGATTATGTAATCGCTCTGAATACCACAATATTTTCGATCATGCTTAAACATCATGGTATTCAGAGCGATTACATAATCAAATAAACAACATGCTTAAACATTGTGATATTCAAAATGAAATAAACATTGCATTATTCATTTCTTTCATAATGTAAATAAATTAGTTCATATAAGATTAATTTTTTGTTCATTATTATATCTACCCAGTTTCTATTTTTTTTTACATGTTGACTAGGGATGGCAAATGTTTTAAAATGCAATCTTAAAAATCATGTTTGTTTGATTTAAATCTTTTAATAAATGGTTTAATACATTATGACGTAATTTGATCTAATTGCGTGATTTAATATTTATGATTACTAACATTCGAAAAAAAAAAATCAAAAAATTTCTTCAAAGCAATGTTTCATGTTCGTGTTTAAATTTTACAAAAGTTGCTGAAACTAATAAACATGGTAGAAAAACGTCGCGTCAAAAATGCAGTTATTGCGAAGAAGACTGTTGATTCAGTTAATCGGTTAAAAATTTCCAAGAAATATTGAAAGTTCATGATCCTATTTCAAGTGACATATGCGATTGGATTAATATGAGAAAGATAAATTATTTATTCATTGTATTTGTGGCGATATTACTGTAAACTTGGACTCTTCAATGCTACCAACGTAAAACTAATGCCAAATAAAAGATTGTATTTGGCTGATTGCAAATTTATACATTTAAAAATATAATTGATAAAATTTTTTTTTATATTTAATAAATTCGAAACTATATAGAATCACTTTTTTAAAAAAAATTCTTTGCTGACAATTAAAATTAAATAAAAGCAATATTTCTTTTTCAGCAATATTTTATCTCAGACTTCGATGGTTTAAAAAAAGTTTTAAAACAATAAAAAATGTTTAAAAAACTGTTTAAAACATTTTTTTACCATCCCTAATGTCGACCTGGCATTTCCCAATGATTTACAACAATCACCTGGATAAATCCGATATTGGTGTTCTACGAATTAGAAGGGCTTAGAATTGGTTTTTGAACACATGATACCTCGAAAATGTTCACAAAAAATTTTCCAGAATAACATTTAGATTGAAAGATGCTTTTCTTGAATGTGTGCCAGGTTTGTGGTGCAGCAAAAAATTTTTCGAAGTTCGTTTATGTTAGGGTTAGGGTTCGGGTTAGGGTTAGGAAGGGGTGTTTATATAGTAAAATTGTCTAGCAAAAACTTTTTGTTAAAACACTAAAGGTGATTTCCTATGCAGATTTTCAAGAAATAGGCGATTTCTGATGAAACGAACGTTTGTTTTGACATTACCGCGAATTTATGAAATACTCCAAAATTTGAAAATTTTGACCACTAAGTAAACGATAATGATTTTTGATCGAAATAACTACTGTCCCAGGGTGAGGGTGCATCATTATAATAAATTCATATGTCTAATGAGGTGGGGAAGATGGGTTAGCACGTAGTGAAGATGGGTTAGACGCATTATCAATCAAGATCAGAGGTCCAAAAAACTTTTTTGGGGTTTAACATTGATTTATTTATATGTTATTTGGTAACTAACATTTAAAATTGGGGACCAAATACTCAGATTTAGTGACCGAATTTTAGCTTAATTTCATAAATTCGCCGTAATGAATCTTCTTGATTGTGTTACATTACACCTAGTGATGGGAAAAATGCGCATTTTATAATAACATGTGCATGAATGCGCATTAATGCACATGAAATATAAAATGCGCATGATACCGCATGATAAAAAAAATTTTTTTTTAAACTTATATCTTTATTATTATAATAATTCTAATAAAGATTCTACATATAAATTCTTAATTAGATTTTGCCAACATACATAACTTTTTACCAATTTATCAGTATAAATTTCATTGTTGTTAATCATATATAATTAATAAATTTAATTGTAAAATATATAGATAGGCATAATATTTGCAATTTGATCTTTAGTAATACCAACTAGGAATGCTATGTTCCAAAAAATGTACTGAATAGTTAAAGTCAAAGTTCTAAATTAAAATACTTAGAACCTCTGAAAACTTAAATTTAAACCTTAATGCCCAAGCTTAATCTTAGTTAAAAACTGTATACTAATCCTAAATTCTTGCAAAAATAAAGGGTAGTGACTTAACTACTGGTTAGAACTAATTAATGTTCTATTTAAAATATTTTTAACTAATATAATTCTTATGATTTTATTTCAATTTTTTTGAATTTTATATATTGTATTTTTTTTAATTTTTAATTTTTCTGTTTTTTTTTTTAATTTTTTAGTTTTTTTTTATTTTTTTAATTTTTAATTTTTTTATTTTTTAAATTTTATTTAATGTTTATTTATTTGATATTTATATATTTGACTACTATTATTGTTTTTAGTAATCTACTGTTTTACATTTTTAAATTATTTTAATTATTTTTTTCTGCAAAATAATTTTCTAGATACTCATCATTTTCAGAAATATAATCCATTGTTGTATCAAAACTTTTTTCATTTAAATTATCAACTTCATTTTCAAGGTATTCTAAATTATTATTTTAAATTATTTTAAATTATTATTTATATTATTATTAATTATTATTAAAATTATATTTACTTACCATTATCCAAATAATCATCTGTATAATTATTTAGATTATTATTTAATTTATCACTTAATTCATCTAACTCATCACTTGATTCATCATCTAATTCATTATTTAATTCATCATCATATCTGTTTTCTAATTCATTATCTAATTCATCATCTAATTCACTATCAAACTCATAATTTAATTCATCATTTAATTCGTAATCAAATTCATTATCTAATTCATTATCAGAACTATCACTAGATTCATCATAAGAATCATCATTAAACTCATTGCTTAAATTATTTTCCAAATTATTATTTTTTTCATTATTTAATTCAAGTATATCAGATATATTTGTATTTTGAATATTGTTATTTTTATAAATTTTTTGAGTAATATGTGGTAATTGCAATTTATAATTGCTATATATATATACTAATTTAAAAACTCTTGGCTTAGTTAATCTTTGTCTTTTTTTATTATAAATAAATGAAAAATTTGACCAATTTCTTTCTGCAGCAGCTGAAGATGTTGGAATAGATAATATTTTGCATGCTAATTTAGTTAATTCAGGAGCAGATTCTTGAAAATTACCCTTCCACCACATTATTGGATCAATTTGATCTACTGATTTCCATGCTAATTGATTATCAAAAGGTTTATTTTTAGTTTTATATTGAAGAATTTGTTGCCAAACAAGTGAAGAATTATGTGTACAATATTTGGTAATAAAATTTGAAATAGTAGTCATATAATTATTTGGTAATCCATTTCCAGCAATTTTAGGATTAAGAAAATTTGCAATTTCCATAACAGGATGATACAATTTAATCCATCTAGTTTTTAATATATTTTTGATATCACCTATATTTATTATTATAATTAATAATTTAGTTAGTTAATAAATACTTAATAATAAACTTTAATTAGATTTATTAAATTATAATTATTAAATAATATATATAATACAGTTATTCTTCTCTATAATTATACAGTTTATTTATAATAACAAAATATTTATTCTATATAATTACATTAATATATAAAATATTTATAATGTAATTATATAAAAGTATTTTAAATATAAAAAAATAGTTATAAAATTTTGTATAATTATATAGAGATTATGACTATAAAAAAGATGATTATAAAGAAGAATAACTGTATTAAATATTAATAATATAATTGAATATTATTAAAATTAATGAATACTTACTATTATTAATAGATTTAAAATAATTATAATACCATTCATAAAAATATGATAATTGAGGAGTATCACTTTCAAATATACTAATTCCAATAATTAATTCTTTTAAAAGTTCAATTAATTTTAAAAGATTATTCCAATAAGTTTTACTATTAACTGTCTTTTCAACAATTTTATCTACATTATCTTGATTTGCAATTAATTCAGTAATAGTAAGACTAATTGGAATATGATTAACTTTGACTGATTCCATACAAATAAAAGAAGATCCCCATCTTGTTTTTATTGGTAATTTAAGAGCAGTATTTAATTTTTGAATTTGTTGATGACGTTTAAAAATTGCTGCTGGAATATGATGATTTTTAAAAAACTTAACAATAGCTTTTGTTTTTTTAAAAATAGATTTAGTCCATCTTAATGTCATAATATCTTGAATAATAAGATTTAAGTTATGTGCTAAACATCCCATATAAATAATATTAGGAAAAGTTTTGCTTAAAATTTTCCAAGATTTTTTCATAACAGAAGCATTATCAGTAATTATAGCACAAAGTTTAAACTTATCTATAGTTGCTATAATATCTTCTATATCTTTAGCAATATTATTGGCATTTTGACGTACTTCTTGAGTAGGCTTAGCAAAAACAAATACAGGTTTTGGAGTTGCAAAAATAAAATTTGTCCAATGTTCAGAAGAAAGACTTGACCTAAAAATTAATAATTTTTATTAATTTAAACCTTTACTAAAATATATCTATAGTACTTTACTATATATATTATATTATCTTAAAAACTAGCTAATTAATTAGTATATAATGTTCTATATCAGGAAAATTTTTAAAATGCTATATAGCGATTATAATCAGATAAATTGATATATATCGATGACAAATAATTGATTATATCTGACAGGAGGGTTTGAAATTGATTTCTAACAATATCAATTATAATCGATTATAGATATATAACGATTAATAACGATAATAATCGATAATATAAAAAATCGATTAATATCGATAGTTTAAAATTTTCAAAATTTGTAGCAAAACTTTGAAGATGAATATCTCTATAACTAGTAATCCAAATTGGCTCAAACTTTTACTACAATTAGATATGATGTTCAACTATAACATATTAAAGGTTGAAGTAATTTGACTAAATAGTTCTTGAGAAATCGATTGTATACGATAGTTGATTTTTTTAAAAAAATCAACTATCGTATACAATCGATTTCTCAAGAACTATTTAGTCAAATTACTTCAACCTTTAATATGTTATAGTTGAACATCATATCTAATTGTAGTAAAAGTTTGAGCCAATTTGGATTACTAGTTATAGAGATATTCATCTTCAAAGTTTCGCTAAAAATTACAATTTATTGTTATATATCGTTAGTTATCACTAACATTATTAATCGTTAGAAGTGTTATGTATCGATTAAAATCACCCCAATTTATATCGATATATATCACCTAACAAATTTTCCTGATGTAAGTAAAAATACTTTATATTTTTAAAAACCTTTTTCAAACCCTAATCTAAATACTAACTTAAGTATAAAAAATTTAAAATAAAAATTATATATATATAATTTAAAAAAAAATATAAAATTACTAAGTTAGTAAAAAGTAACTAAACAGGTTTCTATTTTTTATCATCTTCATTAATATTTAATTTACTATTTTATAGGTACATATCTATATAAAAAATAATAAATTAAATATTAGTAGAGATAGAAAAATAGGAACCTGTTTAGTTACTTTTCACCAACCCAGTATATAATAAATACAAAACATTATAGGTACATTTTATAATAAATATTAATTGATAATATAATTTGAATTTAATATTTAAAAATTTACTAACCATCCATCACAAATCAAAGTTAAAAAATCAGCATCTTCAATACTTTTATCTACTTTTAATTTGGTTTTATTATAAATAGTTTCTAATAATTGATTAGCCATTTTTTTTCTTGTAGGTAATTTAAATGAAGGTTTTAATCCTTTAATCCAGGTTTGAATTGGAACTAACTCACAAAATGAAAAAGGAAGACCACATTGAAAAACAGCTTCTGCAAAGCCTACTTCAAGACGATCTTGCTCATTTGTTGTAGTATGATCAAAAAAATTTTTAATATTTGCATTTTGCAATGTTTTTTTTGAAGTATTTACTATTAATTGAGAAGCAACATGTGAAGATGTTATTTTAGGACTACCAAAATATGATTGATAACTTTCATTATCAATTTTAGTGCAATTTTTTAAATGGGATTCGCATCTATTAAGAGCTTTATTGCAAGTATGAGAACAAAAGTTGCATTTAACTCTTGGTTGTTTAAAAGGAGGAACTGTACCAAGATCGGTATAATAAGTATAAATTGAACCTGGATTCCGTGGCATTTTATTTACAAAACTGAAATAAAATAACTACAACAAAACGTCCGATTTATATGTATATACAAAACCAAGATTTATAAACAGTTTTGCGATACATGTTTCACAATACATTTCACAATGTTTAACAATACTATATCCGTTTAGATCTTAAAATAATTAATAATCTTTGATCCAGTTATAGACCAGATCCGCAATTGCACTATAGGAATAATTCTAATTATGGTTATATTGGACTATCGATTCTTGAAATGAAATCCAGATTGGCTCAACCTAATATTTCTACGTTTTACAAGACTTTTTACAGTATTTTTAAAAAGTCAATCATACTTACTTTCTATTTAATTTTTCTATATAAATTTTTGATGGGATAAAATGCGCATGATTCGGAAACATGCGCATGAATGCGCATTCATGCGCATGAAATCCCAATCATGCGCATGCATGAAACCCATCACTAATTACACCTGATCTTGAAATCTGATTCGTAGTTCAGAACATCTGCGCCACAAACCTGGTACACATTCAAGGTGTGCTTGAAAGATCAGGTGTGATGTAAAATTAAAACAATCGAATTAAGCGAAAGATTTTAAGGTAATAAGCTTCATCTTTATGGTTAGGAATAAGGCTGAGGGAAAATATAGCTTATACCAAAATTTCACAAGGAGTTTTATTTTGTTAAAATGCAGAAAGCAGTTTTATAGATAAAACAAGAATTTATTCTTATGCTGTTTTCATTACAGGACATTAATGCAGTTTGATAAGGGTCAACCAATCAAAAAGATGGGGCATATTGGTCTGGATCACCACTCACCACAAGCTTTAACTCTGGGCATGAGCACTGAAAACCGATTTGAGATTCAATTGATGACAAACCATAGATTCATGCAGCAGAATCCAAAGCCACTAACACAATCAGTATAGAAAGACCATCAAAAATAACTGATTTCTACATTCTTTTTCTCTTTAAATTCTACATGTATTTTCTCAATCCAACCCTTTCCACTCACACTGTAGTCTCCTAATTCTGCCATTTTCCATTTAACAGCTAGCCTGCTTCAAGCAGGCAGGAAATTACCAGTTGATGCTGCTTCTTGCTCGCTCAACTGTTATGATGATATCTGGCACAACTCACTTTCTAATCTCTGAAAGAATATCATTGTTTTAGTTCAAATTACTTTAAATTACTAATTATTAATTATTTAAATCATCAATTACTCAAATTATTAATTACTTAAAATTACTAATTCAATATATTCTGTGGTTTAATTAAATTTATTTCTGGCTCTTTGGCTGTCCGAAATTCTTCCAATATATGACCAAGAGTACCGATGCTTTTCGAATAAAAAATGTTTAATTAATTGCTTATCATACAAAAAATGCATAATATCCAATAAACATCCTGAAAATATTAAATATAGAGTCTTATTTTTTTTGAGTTTTAATGTGTTGAGGTTTACATAAAAATGTAAAAGTTTTTATTTTAGATATAATCAATTTACTTAAATCCAATTCAAGTTCAAGTGAACCCAAGATGGGTCTACTTGAACTTAACTGGGTTCAGATTGTGTTGATTTAAATCTAGCAAAGATTCAAGTAAACCCAATTAAGTCTGCTTGAACCCAACATGGGCTTAAATAAACCAAAATCAGTTCTAATTTAGGTTTAAGTAAACCAAATTTTGGTTTACTTTAATCCAACCAGATTTAAATTAAGTTCTTTTAACAAAACTTAAAAACTAATAAAAATTGAGGCTGTGCACCCGGGGCAACGCCCGGGCCTAAGAGCTAGTTTTTTTTACTACAATTTGATTGGCTGTTGGTCACGTGAACGCAACTGGCTTTAGGCGACCCAAAATTTGGAAAACTTCTTGGCCGTACTGTATTTTTGTTGCATCTGATGTAATATTAAAGTATCACCTGGCTAAAATTAAACCCTGAAATTAGATCTTCGTGTATGCATTAAAACGTAAATTTAACCAAGCGCTACTTTAGATATAAAGTAGTTACTTTAGATGGGTTACTTCAGATGCAACATTTTCATACGTACACACTTTCTTTACAGAAAATATGCAGATCACACATTATTAATAAATATATAGATATAATCGACTATTTTAAAACTTTTGGTCAATGCTGAATGCTCGGGATCTCGGAGTATAGAAAATTAATTTAACATAAAAGTTCTTCGTTATATTAAAATAAACATTGCGTGCGCACATTCCGAATAATTTAAACCAAATTGTCAAAACAATGAAAAATTAAGGCTAACCTAATCTCCCTTTATGAAAAAGCCCGCATTAGAGATGTGATGCGTTCGGTGCTATTTATCAGATCGCTGGTGTTGTACTCGACTACGAATATGTATCCTGATAAAAGAAATTTAGTTGGCAAAATATTTCAATGTTTCATATTTCATCATCGTATATGAGTGCCGCCAAGGGAAAACCTGCCATCGGACTTTCAATTATATTTTGTGTACAGTTAGTCGTCTATGAAAAATCTATCATAATGATAGATTTTCCATAGATGACTAACTGTACACAAAATATAGTTGAAAGTCCGATGACAGGTTTTCCCTTGGCAGCACTCATATATACATTATACGTATAACATAAAAAAAAAACCCCTTTTCACATGACCTGGAAAGTTCGATTTTACTTTAATGATACTGTATAAAAGAAAAAAAAAGATGACATGGCTTACATTGCATATATGTACAATAAAAAATTACGCAATTTCATCAATTTTTTTAGTGTAATATACAATAGGAAAATATTGTTCCCTTCATTGTTTGCTGTAAATCGATTGTTTAATACGAATTACATAAGCTTGGACCGATGTGTTTTCTAAGCTATACAAATAAGTTTAAATAATTGACTCATTCATTTCGTTCTAGTTCTCGACTATCTTTTATGTCGACAAATAAGTAAAATATATACATAGCAAGCCTTTTTTTTTTTTAATAAAAACTCAACGATTTCGATTTAAGCTGGAGTCAACCTATAAAAAAATAGTATCCATGAACCGAAACCTTGCTTTATTACTCGTTTTTTTAGCTGTCATTTCTATTGCCAATGCTATTCCACAACTAAATAAAAGACAAACTATATTTAAGAAATGTCCAAATCCAGCACCAGATAATGCAACCACTATCAATAAAGTAACAATTCAGCCTGATCCTTTGGTGCCTAATAAGCCAGGCAAAATTACAGGTTCTGCAACAACAGAAACTGAGATTACTGAAGACTACGTATTTGCTTTTTTTATTACTGATTTGAGTGAGAAAATTTTTTATTACTGATCAGAGTGAGAAAATCTTAGGCTTCAACTATACACCAATTTGTGATGACGGTAAAACTAAAAGTCCAACTAAAGAATATAATATTGATCTTACATTCGATGTCCCCAATGTTACTCAATCCGACATCATGATAGCTACAATTCTTAATTCTAAAACAAACTTAACAATAGCTTGTGGTTATTCTAATTTTTCCTAATATTTTAATATGATGCTGATGTATTGGTTATGTTTATATGTTTTAATTGAAATTATTTTTTGATATATTAAACACATAAAGCATAAATCGTCTTTATACTCGGATATTATTATTATATTTTTTTGTAATAAAATCTAGAGTAAGGTACGGTTATAGAATAGGATAGGATTAGTTATAAAAGATAGCATAAGGTTTTTGATTTTTGGAGGTTCTTAACATTTTTTAGTTGGAACACGACCTTAATTACTAGTTTTTTAAGATATAGCAACCCGGTGTTGTATTCTCCCGGTACAATTAGTATTTTTCATCAATAAAATTTGATTATCGTTATGTATGTTTAAATATTTTAACGGTATAAAATCAAGACAACTAATCAGCTATCGCTATCGCTAGATATCTGAAGTGTTATGATTCCGTTTTTTTTTTTAACACCAGTCTATGTAACAAATGACATGATTTATAAAAATCCACAAATTATAGAGAATTTTTTTAAATCTATCAACTATAAATGGTGAAGCATCTTAACTATAATAATCATCTTAACTATAATAATATAAATTCATTTGTCTACGCATTAAACTATCACATCCCTTAAAATTTTATAAATGATCTTTGGTCTAATAATTAATTCTAAAGGTGATTTATAGAAATTAGCAATTAACAAAGATGCGTTCATAAGGTACCACTGTAACATATTCTTCTACATCTTTTTTAAATTTATTATCCAAATATTTGTTTACGCCCACATAATTCAAAGTACTTTTTCGTATGAAGAATTCGATTAGCGCCTTAGCTTGTTTCTCGTTATCAAGTCTATTAATTAGCAACTTTTTTAAAGGTGCATGGCAATTACTAAGTAAAATATCAATATATAACTCTAAACAAGAAGTCCTTATGTCAAGATATTGCAATGTTGAAGGCAAGATTTTTGCAAATTGTAGAACTTGTTCTCCTTTAGGTGTAATGCTATCAGTACACCATTCGCACCATAAAATGAGAAATTGAAGTTTTTGTAAATTGCCAATAAGATCTAGGAATTGTAAGGAAAACTTGATATACAAAATTTCGAGATATATAATGTTTGGGCAGAAGGACTTAATTGTTTCTAGTAATTGTGATTGTTCTAAAATCATGTCAGATTTAATTTTTAGTCGTTGTAGTAATGTGCCAGACTTTTCTAAAATTAATACTATTTTCTTAACATCAATCGAACAATGAAGTATCTCTAAAGTGCTGATTTTATAATCAGATAATGTTAATAATCTCGCATATTGGCAATATTTGGCACGAAGAATTTCTAAATTTTCAAAATTCATTAATATCTCGAACTCTTCATTACAATCACAACATTCTATTATAAGTTCCCGTAATGATTTTTGCTGACTCACTAATATAGCTATTTAGAGTATCAGGGGGATTTATGGCTGACGATAAGCAATTCATGCTCATTTTACATGACAATGACTTTAGTTCCCACCATGTGAATACCAGCGACGCGCCTTACTATTGTTCTCAATGGAGCATTGCCTCAAGCCAAACCCGAATTAGCATTATTAAATGCCTTCCTTTGTCGATCAATCCGCATTTCAGGTCCCGAATCATGTGGCTAACGTTTTCATAATAACGGCTAGGTCATATTACCCCCGTTACAACGTACGTAAAGCACGTATTTTTCAAAATATTAATTATAACTCTAAAGTTAAAGCAAATTTACAGAAATTAAAACGTTCATAACTTCACATGATTTGTACTATAACGAAAATAAATTCACCTTGTAGAACTAATTAAAATGACAGAGATACTTTTAACTAGAGGTTGGAATCGAATTTAAGTTTAAATTCGAATTTTTATAAACTAAATTTGAATTAATTCGAATGTATCATATAAATTCGAATTTGCGAATATTCATTGATCGCTTTATAGGAGATTAGGGATTGGAACAGTTTAACCTTTAAAAAGTGCTCCATAATTCCGGGCAGAATTATATTGGTCGTGGGAGGAATTATCTTAATGCCGGTCAAATTAAACGGTTAAACGGTTAATGATCAAAAACGATTAAGATGCTAATATTTTATAACGGTTAGGCCAGACCAATTAAATTCTGTGTTTTACATTACGCCCCCCAGAATTTCTTCCCCTTTCATAGTAAAAAAAAAATCCGTATATATAACATAATAAACCCCCAGAAGGTAAAGGGGGATGTTAAACAGAATTTAATTGGTCTGGCCTAACAGTAATTTGAAAGCGCAATAAATATATTTATAGTCATGCACTATTACATTCATTAGCTAATCACGTCAGGATTGAGGTTTGAGAACGCCTAAATCTGTACTTATTTACATTGGGCCACTCAAATTAATTCTTTGCTTAACTTAATTCCCCTATTTTAAAAATTTACATGAAAAAACATATTAAGCAATCAAATTATAGTAATTAACTTGTTATATATTTTATATTTTTTACAACTTGTAGAATTACTGTGTTTTATTGTTTTTTATTCTCTTCTTACGAGATATTCCACGTTACTGTATCGTTGCGAAATAATGCCCTGGGGTGTTATTTCGAGACAAAAATTTTAAAACGAACTAATAACTAATTTGGCCGAAGATTTTTTTATTAAACTTTACTATCAAATAAATATAACGTCAAATTAATTATTAACTCGTTTTAAATTTTTTTTCTCCCCAGGGCCACGATATGGTATGCAAAATCAAGAATTAATTTGGAATAACTTTATCAATAAAGTAAGTGATATTTTCTATAGTGTTTTTTTTTGAATAATCAAATATGTTTAAAATGTTGATGATTTAGTTTTAGTTGCGTATTTATAATGCAAAAATTAAAAAACATATATAATGATATTGGTAATAAAAATCATTAAAATACATATATAATGATATTGGTAATAAAAATCTATCATTCTTAGAAAGCTATAGAATATTAAAAATAATTCTGATGATTATAGGGTCAAAAGGTGTCAATGAATAAATTTTATTTAGCAGAAATCGTTTTGAGCATTCGAGTATGCTGGTTATTGTAATGAATGTTTAAATAATAATCAAAAATTTTAAAACTTATTATGCAAATAAAATATTTTAATTAGTAAATTAAATTGAGTTTACAAACTTTTTACAGTAAACTGTCTTTTTTTATACCAGACCTGGCGAAATTTGCATTAATTGAGTACTCAAAAAGATCATTCAAGTAATTTTTGTCATGAACCCAAACTATTAGCATCAATGGATTATTACTTATTCCTTATACTAAAAATTTTTATGAAAATAAACAATTTAGAAGGTTTAAAAAACAATTATGAATGCTTACTATCTTTTAGCTTTAATACATGCGGTAACAAATTCATCGATTTTGCTGATAATTTGGGAATTATTTAAAATTTATTACTATTTGTTAGATTTAAATATAAATAACTTAAGATTTTTAATGCAATTTTAATAATTTTAATACCATTAAAATCAGAAAAGTATGAGAAACAACTTTGCTTAAGAATACTAAAGGGATTTACTTAATAACAATATTTGTTTTAAAGCAGTTTTTATTTAATGAGGTATAAATTTCAATTCCCTTTTTTTATAAAATAATAAATAAATTATTAAAAAAATCAATCAGCGAATTAAACCTTTTGAAATAAATTACCAAGCTTCAATAGATTATAAATTATATTAATGCTTATTGGCTAAATTGAAGCGTCTAAAAAAATACCTCTTATCCAACTTCTGAATTATGTCGCCAATTACAAAATTACTTTAGCATATTGTAGAGCTGATGGAGTACTTCCAAAGTTTTACTTCATAACCCAACAAATTCATATTCACATTTAGAATTAATTTTTATATAAGACAGCATCAATTATAAATTGTTAAGGAATGTGATAGTTTAATGCGCATATAAATGAAATACTACTCCAATAAATTTAGTGTTATGATTGTTAAAATACTTCTTTATAGTTGGTAGATTTAAATAAGTTTTAAAATTGTCGACTAATGGAGTAATACAGTAGCAATCTTTATAATTGGTGGAATTTTATAAATTATTTCATCATAAAGTCTTATTAAAGTAACTATTTACTGTCACAAAAATAAAATCAAATACATAAATGTGAATATGAATTTGTTGGG